CCATGCCGCACGCCAATGCCCGCGCAATCCACACCGATCCATCTTCGGGTGGTTTCCCGACCAGTCGACGTGGACTACCAACCAGTCCCCATTCGGTCCCCATCTTCATCTCAACGCAACCGCCCAGTTGCATCCGGGGAGATATGCCGGCGGTTCAACCAAGGTCGCTGTCGGTTCGCCCGCTGCCGCGCTACCGCCATGCGTGCTCTGAGTGCTGCGGGAATCACCCGCTGGCGAACTACCCCAGTCACCCTCAGCGCTCTGGGCAGCGGAGCCGGTCACCTAACTTTCCCCAGGGAAGGAGCTCTCACTCCTCCGGGTCGCCCTTCCCTACCCCTAACCCTCCCCTGTGATGTCTCGCCACCAAAGGAAAGCGACACCAACCGACCGCTTATCAATTCCCACACCTGGACGGTTTGCAGACACTGTTGAGTTCCCACCTGTGTTGTTCCACTGTCACCCGTGGCTATCGTTTTCACACATATTATTATTTGGGCTAGGCGTGTCTTCGGGTCGAATTTATACGACGCACCGTCGTCGTCTTAGTGCGCATGCGTTAATATTACGCGCTTCTTATTATACGACATACTGTGCGGAATTTTTTCTCCATCCTCTTACAGTCCGTGCAGTTGGAGATAGATTCATCCGCGGAGGATAGTGTTCTTCGTCGAAGAAAAACAGACAGAGAATCGTGTCTTCGGCTCGAATTTTCTATCTATGTATGCCCGGCCGTCGAAAGTCCTCACGACAGAGAGGCTCGTCTTTTTCAGGGATGATTACGAGATCGAGAGCGGGCAAGGCAACATACTGCTTCTGGTCCAAGAGGTAGACAGACAGAACGCCCGGCCGTCGAAAGTCCTCACGACAGAGAGGCTCGTCTTTTCAGGGACCATTACGAGATCTTGAGCGGGCAAGGCAACGATACTGCTTCTGTTCCAAGAGGAGACAGACAGAACGCCCGGCCGTCGAAAGTCCTCGCGACAGAGAGGCTTGTCTTTTCAGCGACGATTATTAGATGGAGAGGGGGTGCGGGCACATTACCTTTCCGTTGCTACTTTCTTCTGGTCTAGTTTCACTAGCTACGTATGCGAAAGCTGCCTTACTCAACCTAATATTATGTCAACACCATAATAACTTCTGTTACTTGCTGAAACTTTTACCTGTACATATATACGTAGCTATATTATCGCTAGTAATACTTGAGTTATCGCTCCGCTCGCCCAAAGAATGCCAAGCATTTCCACTAGTCATATCGGCACTCACCGACTCACGTGGCCCCGCCGGAGAGGGTCCGCCCCCCCTCCCCTCGGCCTTCTCGCAGCGCGCGCACCGAGCCCCTATAATTCAGGCGCTCTGCGCGGGTGGGGGGTCGCGCTCTCCCGCGCCGCCCTGCGATCTATTGCCGCCTAGCGCTCGCGCGAACCCGCCATGCGCGCAGGTACACCGATATAAATGCTCGCTATCCCTCTCAACCTCACAGATATCTATTCCTACACATCGGATCTCCTGTTCCTCGACTTTTGCAGGAGAACAGGCAATACCGAGTTCCCCGGGCTGCGGCGAGTGGCTACCCCGCTAGACGTCGGCGCGTGGGCCGCCGCCCTGTCGCAACATCCGGACAGAGCATTCGCCCGCTATATACTTCTGTCAAGGCCTCCAATTCGGGTTTGGGATTGGCTTCAACGGTACGATTCGTCTCAAATCGGCCCCAGCGAACATGGGATCAGCCCGCGAGCACCCCGCAGTGGTGTCCGAGTACCTCACTAAAGAATTGGCGCTGGGTCGGATGCTGAGCCCATTCCCCAAGTCTGCCTGCGGTCCGCACCGACAACGCGTTGGCCGTCGCCCTCGCTTGGTACCTGCACCAGAAGGGCATCCCACTTCTCAGGCACTACCTCGACGATTTCATAATCGTGGCATCTCCGTGCTCGATAGAGTGCCAGGATTCACTGGCTACACTGGACCGGGTGTGCAAGGCACTCGGCGTCCCCATTGCCGAACACAAAAGTGACGGCCGCCTCACCTACTTGGGGATAGAGGTGGACACAGAGGCGGGCCAGCTTAGGCTCCCTGGGGACAAGCTCAAACGTATAAGAGCCCTCCTACAGCAGTGGAGGGCCAGGCGCACTTGCACGAGGAAGGAACTTGAGTCACTCATCGATCTCCTCAATCACGCCTGCAAAGTGGTACGGTCAGGACGCTCGTTTCTCAGGCGCATGATTGACCTCCTCCATGCGGTACATCCCCCCCCCCCCAATTCCCCACTGCCAATTCGGCTCAACAGCGAGTTCCAAGCGGACCTCCACTGGTGGAACCTATTTTTGGAGAAGTGGAATGGCGTCTCCTTTCTCCTCCCACCTGGCCACCAGCCCAGGGTCCGCATGACCTCGGATGCGTCGGGCTCCTGGGGTTGCGGAGCCTGGCATGGGTCAGCCTGGTTTCAGGTGCAATGGGACGTCAGGTCGCAGCCTCTCACAATTGCTGAGAAGGAGATAATCCCCATCGTCCTCTGGTGCACCGCCTGGGGCCAGAGCTGGTCGGGCCACCGGGTGGAGTGCTTCTGCCACAACCATCGTGTATCAGGTCGCGGACAAGCCGGCACAAGGGTCATGCACCTGCTTCGCTGCCTGGTATATGTTGAAGCCATGAGGTTTAGTTTTGCCATCGTACATAAACACGAAAGCAAACGTTCTTGCTGACGAGCTCTCGCGTAACAACCTGGCCTCTTTCCATCTCGAAGGTACCCGAGGCAGATCCCAACCCAACACCAGTCTTGGCCCAGCTGCTGGACCTTCTCTTAGAGCAACAAGCCGACTGGACCAATCCGATCTGGCGCCCTCGGTTCAGGGCTATTTTCAACGAGGTCTAGCCGCCTCTACCCAGTCCACTTACAGGGCCGCCTTGAGGAGATTCCACACATTTTGCCTCAAGTACGACATTGCAACCCCATTCCCCGTCACCAAGCAGCTCCTGTGCTATTTCTCCGCTGACCTGGCAGACCAGGGACTATCCCCGAAGACAGGGAGTCCTACCTGGCGGCGGTGCGGAGCATGCAGATCTCACTGGGCCTGCCAGACCCCAGAGACCAGTCATCAATGGCACTGTTGAAGAGGGTGCAGGCTGGCATCTGTCGGGTCAGGGTGGAGCGAGGCACCCAGCAGGCTCGGGTTTGTCTGTTACTCTATATCTCACTCCTCCAACGTCTGTTCGTCTCACAAACGACACGACCTACTTAACGGGCAACGAAGGTCAGAACGATCGGACAGTTTTCTCTGAAAAAGCTTAGTTGCTAAGCTAGAGCGCTTCCGCCATTGTACGGCTAATGCTAGTCGGCCATTTTTATCGCTGCGGAAAATACGCATGCGCTTATATTTTCAACAGGCTTTAACCTCGACCGGGTCCGTTTGCTCTGTGTATCTTGAAGGCACGAAAAGTCACAACTGAGGGCGTGTATCGACTCCCGCATGCTATCTACTACTGTAGCTAGCCCGTGTCAGACTCTCTGCGAGCTACTAGTGGGAGACCACGAGTAAACCCATACTAATAGCAGCCCAGCCCATCAATTAGCGGTACCGCGCATGCCCAGTTCGCCGAGGGTTTGCATTTTAGTGCTTTTCAGTTGCATGCCCCGAACATCATCAGTATGTATAAACTCTGTAGAGGCAGTAGACATTGCTACTCACCTCTAGGGTACTTACATTTCACCCCTTGCCACTGGTATACGAGTGTCAGCGACATATTCACGCAATGAAGCGGCTTATATACTCTTTGCACTGTGTTCACTACAGCAGCAAAAGCAGAGCTGTAGGGTCTTTGATGTGGTATGAGCATGCTCATAACCATTTCAGTAAGCAGTACTTTCAAATGTGGTGCCCCATGAAAATTGCCTCCATAGGAATAGGTCAGACTGTATTCCAATTGTAGTCTGTGTCCAACTTCCTGTGCTCTCCAACTACTGTATCACTGACATACTATACTCACTTCAGCTTTTGTTTTAATATCATGTTTCTGTGTTATTCTTCCTATCTCCTTTTCTCTATTTTCAGACTTTCTGAAGTCTTCCAAGAAGGGCTACAGTACCAATTGTCTACATTTGGGATCTCAGTTGTTTGGTTTGAGTGTATCACATCGCAATATACCAACACACACACACACACACAATATATATAGATCAGTTGGTAGAGCGCTCTCCTAGACTGCAGAATGTCGTCGGTTCTAATCCAACCTAGGGCAGCTCCTTTGGAAAAAAAGCTGTCCTGGCCGTGTAGTTGAATTGTTTGTTGTGGCTTTGCCTTTCTACCTCGTATGTGACTCCTATGCATGCTCTACATGATAGATCTAAGGCCTGTGATAATTTCTGCACTTTATCTTTCTATTCACAGTTTGTTGATGTGATGTTTCATATGCACTCTGCAGGTTCTCCCATTTCTAGAGAAACCACTACTCTACTGGTGGAGAGGAAAAAAATCACCGCAGCCATTCCGAATTGGTGTTCTATCATCATAATGATCTGGTGAGCTTCGGTTATTTTTTCGACAGCCTCCAACTAACCATGTGCCATAACAGTTATTTGGGGGTTGCCCCTGTGATGTAGGTTTTAGCCCCTAATGACCTTGCCCTGTTAGCTCATTGGGCAAAGCACTCGTGCCTAGACTGCAGAGTGTAGTGGCTTTGAATCTCACCCAGGGCAACTCTTTTTTTCGGAGTTGTCCTGTTGTTGTTTGCCTTCCTATGCTGGTAATGTTGTTGACACATGTTCATGGCTACACTAGCACACTGCACACCATCTAAATTTCTTCTAATCTCACACCCACTGAATCCTTTAGCATTGCAACTGCAGTGTTCAAACCCCAAAAAAAGTCGGAATGGCTGATCTGATGAGTCCTCCCACTATAAAATATAAAGGACGACAACCATCTCTGGGATGCATGGTTCCCAGCTTTTTTACCTGTAGCTATCACAAACTTGTGTGGAAGTATACCCTTCCCTTTCAACTGCAGGAGTGATGCCACCACCATGAGTATTGTCTTTGTCACCCTCTCTGAGAACTGTTTGGGTGAGCCTTCAAGGTGTGCAGGGTTGACCCAGTTGTGCAATCTCTGAGACGTGTTAGGGTGAGTTGTCAGGCATGCAGGGTTGACCCAGTCTTGATCTCCAGTGTTCCTAAAAATCTCATTACCTTGGAATTGTTAGTGTAGCTGTTGGGGTGAGAAACTGCTGGTGCACGCTGTATATACTTCTAATAAGTGCTCACCCAGCCAGCAGCACAACATTACCTATAATTATAAGGCCTGTGATAATTTCTGCACTTTACCTTTCTGTGGTTGTTGATGTGATGTTTCATATACACTCTGCAGGTTCCCTCATTTCTAGAGAAGCTTCTACTGTACTGGTGGAGAGAAAAAATCATCGCAACCGTTCCGAATGTACTGGTGGTGTTCTATCATCATAATGAACCGGTGAGTTGGGTCTGTCTGTCTGTGTGTGTGTGTGTGTCTGTTACTCTTCATCTCACTTCTCGAGTGTTAGTTCGTCTCACAAAGGATACCACCTACTGAACGGGCAATGAAGGTCAGAAATTTCGAATGGTTTTCCCTGAAACTGCTCCTTTGCAAAGCTAGAGCGCGAAAAAGCCAATATGCAAATATACAACGGACGGGATGCTTACTACGGTCAGATCGATCCGCGTGCTCTGTGTACTTCGGAGGCACCAGAAGATGCAACGCAGGGCGTGTATCGCCTCTCGCATGCTATCTAGTAGTGTTGTTAGCCCGCGTCAGACTCAGCGCGAGCTGGCAAGAGACCGGAGTAACAGCTAAAACTAAACCCATCCCATCAATTAGTGGTACGGCGCATGCGTTTACTTACGCGTGCGCGTCACAGTGAGCGCCGAGGGTTTGCACTTCAGTCCTTTTCATTATTCAGGTGTGGGTGCAGGCAATTGTATATATACGGTTCTTGTTACCTTCATGCATTGCACACAGATGCACAAAACACCCAGTTCTAATTAATGCACATTCAGCCGGTAGCGACATTTCCCCCCTCTCTCTTGTTGTTAGATATTGTTGTATTGTTGTTATAAACTTCATGCATTGCATGGAGTCAATGCACACTCTACATTTACTGTTTGGAGTATTGCATTTATGAATTTCTATTCACTGTGGAATTGTATATTCTATAATGCAGGTTCATCCATTACAAGAGAAGCTTTTTCTAGACTGGTGGGGGGAGACAACATAGTTCGTTCCAAACTTAGTAGTGGTGTTCTACTATCAAGAGTGCCGTCATGATCTACTGGTGAGCTGTGGTTGGTTGTCACTGACCTGTAAGTGGGCTAATAACATCCACTCTTCGCAGTGGATTCACACTGCCAGGACAGAAAACCATACAGTAACCCTGGCATGGATAACTTCCTATATATATATATAGGCAAAATATTTGTGCGGTGTGAATCCACTTGTGAGTGACGCTATTGTGCGGCAGTCATCTCTGTGTATGTATGAATTGAGACTGTCCCATGATGGGCCTTCAACCTCCTCGTGGTGTCACTTGGGAGGAAGTTGCTCACGGTTTTTTGTTTAAAAACTTGTGTGATGTGTGTTATTTCTCACTGTGCTTAATTACCTTGCAACCTTTCCTATCATGTCTAGCGTTTGGAGGAAGCCACATTCGTAACAGTCTGTGGAGACACACATTACAGGGTGATGCCTGTGTAACAAACAGTTGCATGCCCCGAACATTGTCAGATGTGTAGGGGCAGTAGACATTGCTACTCACCTTTACGGTACTTTCATTTCACCCCTTCACAAATGCCACTGGTATATATACGAGTGTCAGTGGCATATTCACGCAATGAAGCGGCTTATATACTCCTTGCCCTACTGCAGTAAAAGCTGTAAGGTCCTTGATGTGGTATGAGCATTTCAGTAAGCAATACTTTCAAATGAAGCGGCTTATATACTAATTGCACTGTGTTCACTACTGCAGTGGATGCAGTAAAAAGCAGAGCTGTAAGGTCCTTGATGTGGTATGAGCATGCTCATAACCATTTCAGTAGCTCCAAATGTGGTGCCCCATGAAAAATTGCCTCCATAGATAGGTCAGTCTGTATTCCAATTATCGTCTGTGTCCAACTTCCTGTGCTCTCCAACTATCACCAACATACTATACTCACTTATGGGGCCAAATATTTTGATTTAATACCATGTTTCTGTGTTATTCTTCCTATCTCTATTTTCTAGGCTTTGCAAAGAAGGCTATGTACCTATTGTCTACATTTGGGATCTCAGCTGTTTGGTGAGTGTGTCTTTGTCACGATGAGATGGCCAAGTTTGACTCTTGCCACATCTGGTATCACCATTACTGCATGGACATCCCAGTGAGGTGTTTGGGGACTCTGTGAGGTCCACTGGGAGTGCAAGAGGTGTATGTGAATACACTCACCTAAAGTACGTTCGCGCTGAGAATGCACCTTGAAAATCTAGAATAACTTCCGATTTATGCGGCTACGCTTGGTATCAAAATGTAGCGCTTCACACTCCAGTTCATTCAGCGCTTACCACGTTCAAATCCGCTGCGTAGTTTTTTTTCGCACGTTATGCATAATCCCATACATTTCTACGGCATACTTTTCCCATACATTTATATGGGTGAATAATACCACCCTCCTCATTATCTACTTCCGCATGCATTCTCAGCACGAACGTACTATAGCTGGTACCACTGGCAGGTCAGCACAGTGTGTGACTCTGACTCCAACTGTTTGCTGGAAGTTTCTCAGTGCTAGGTATGTGAACATACCTACCAGCATAACAGATATAAAATTAATTTGCCGGTTCGGTGTCATTCGGGAGGAGGTTGCTATCATTTGTGTTCGGAACTTTCTGCTAACAGAAGGCAAAGTTTATAAATTCATGTTTATACCTGTGCTGTTTTGTTTGGTTTTGATGTTTTTGCTGTTTTTGCTGAAGCACTCAAATTATAGTACATACATACACCTCTGAGTCTATTTGTGTCATGTAAATTTCTGTTTCCAGCAGTGCTATATATATAAGAGTTTACAGAGCAGAAGATACTGGGGGACATTGTGGAAGGAAGTGGGTATTATGCCAGTGTAGGCATACCACTTTCTTCTGGAGTGTTTTCCAGAGTCCTGCTTATCTTACTAGCCTACTACCAAGTATATGCTCTATGCGCAAATTGCCATCATCAAACCTAGCACAATGCCTGAATTCCCTATAAGGAAAGCAAAGTGGATGTTGATTAGGAGTGATTTCAGTAGTGGGTGCTATATACTACTGGCCAATCAAGCTGTTGCTGGGGTAACATAGTATACCAAATCTGAATAAAGTTCAGTGTGTCTCATAAGCCTGGGGGATTATTTACACAAATGTTTTCCACACTGGTAGACAACAAAACTTTTGCCTCAGTCATAAAGGCATGCCGGGCGACAACAATTACAGGGATTGTGTCACGGCTTGGGGAGTGTCAGACACCTCACAATGTGGACATGATATCCCTAGATCCATTCCCTATCCAATCTCCCTTCCTTTTTAGGTGTGATTAACTGCTGGGCTTTTCAAAGAACAGTATTACATCATAGGCATACATTTATACTCATATCGTCATGCTTTTAGAGTTAAAATTCTCTGGTGCTGCGCATAAGAAAGACTTGTGATGTTGAGAGAGGGCTTTTCAAAGAACAGTATTACATCATAGGCATACATTTATACTCATATCGTCATGCTTTTAGAGTTAAAATTCTCTGGTGCTGCGCATAAGAAAGACTTGTGATGTTGAGAGATCTGGAGAGGGGGGATGGCAGGATGGAAGTCCTACTGATGAAACCTTGGCTCAGCCACAACAGCAAGTAGCTTCCTACCTGAAGAGAACTGGAGAGAAGTAGACCAGTGATAAATGACACTAGTACTTCCCCGTATTCTCTTCACTCAGCTGAGGTGTTATACTACCCAAAATACTCATACTGCAGTCTTATGCAGGGTCATAAGCCTGCAGAAGGAGAGTACTTTGCACTGTACCAACAATCCAGTTTGTGCATGCTTTTACAAAGCAGAGTCTGAAAAGGAAAAGGGATGGGATAAGCACATGCTATTTAGGAACCAATTGGATTCTCTCGATAACGACTCTTGATGCATGGGGAACAAGCCATCATGTGACTGATGTGGGTCCATATGTATATGTTATTACACCTTTTGGAGTGGTGTTGCTTGTTTATCCGCCCGACTCCACGAGGGCGCGTAGCGCCCGAGGGGGGAGGGCGGATAAACCGCAACACCACGACAAAAGTGTAATAAAATGCTTATTACCGTTGATTGGTCGTTGCTGGGGATACCACGCGCGATAATGGCGCATTCACCCAAATAAGGCGATGCGCGTGAACCTGCGCAAAACGTGCCGTTCTATTAATACGCGGCTGGCCGGCTCAGCCAGGCAAAGACACGGACGACGCTGACAGATCGAGAGAGCGATCTAGGGAGCGAATGGCAGAGGCTTTCCGTTTGGAAGTCGAGGGTTGGGATTCTGAGACGTCGCGGCAAGACTCCGCGTCCGAGAGTAGCGCTCCTGGGGACGGGCCGTCTTCATTGAAAAGGCGTAGGCTCTCGCTATCTCCACAAGAAAGAGGGCTACGTGCACTACTTCACAGCTACAGAGAGGTTTGCACGTAGCCCTCTTTCTTGTCAGAGATAGCGAGAGCCTACGCCTTTTCGATGCCGGCGGCCCGTCCCCAGGAGCGCTACTCTCGGACGCGGAGTCTTGCAGCGACGTCTCAGAATCCCAACCCTCGACTTCCAAACGGAAAGCCTCTGCCATTCGCTCCATCCTCGATCTGTCAGAGTTTGTACATAAAAACATTGATACCCAACCCTAACCACAGTGGATATTCACACCATTCCTTAGTTATTTACCCTAACCACAGTGGATATTCTCACCTTTTCACCCTCTTGGGTGGGTAGCTGATTTATTGTGCTAAAATAAACATCGCAACGACCTAGCAACGGGTAATAAGCCAGTATAACACAGCATAATAATATAATGAACAAATATACCATGTGATGCCAAGAGAAAAAAACATGTCATGTACATAGACTATCTCTTTCAGTTCAGAGTGTATATATGGGGTGGGACAGAGAGGACTTCCCTCCAAAGAAGATGGTGAGGGATGGAGCGAAAGGGAGAGGTCTGCAACTCGTTTGCAACTGCAACGAAGGCTCGTAGTCATAGGCTCCATGTTCTCTTCGACCAAAACCTACTCTGGACACAAGAACGAGAAATATTGCATCTTTGCCAACTTCTCAGTCACAGGTGGAAAGGTGCCTGGAGCCCTTGACACTCACAACTCCATTTTACCTTGTTGTTGTTGGTGTTTGTTTGTTTGTTTACAGTCACAACTCCATTTTGCCTTGTTATGACTAAGTTTTGAGTCACCTAATTTGTTGTTGGTTACCCAATGCATACTCCTCTGTCCTCCTCCAAGTCCTTGCAGTTGCGGGTCACGGCGGTCGGCCGCGCCTGGTCTTCTTCTGCTCCACCGCACCCAGAAGGAAAATGAAGACGAAGAGGAGGAGGATCAAGTGTATTGTACGGACCCCGACGCGTAGAGCGATGTACGAAGGTAAAGCTAGGCTAGGAAGGCGAGAGCTAAGGGAATAGGGCTAGGGGCTAGGGTTAGGGCTAGGGCTAAGGCAGCAATGCAGCGCTACAAGCTCGCGGGTATGGAACGCCAAATGCGACAAAAAATAGTGAGCCCATACAGGGTTGCAGCTGAACTACTGGCGCTCTGATGCTGTGTTGCGAGTGGTCGCATCCAACACAGGGTGAAGCGAGCATGGTGGGAGCGGTGGAGAAGAAATGCTGCCCTGGAAAATAATTATCTGGTGAATGTGGGGAGGGAGGCATAAGGAGTCAGGGTGAGGTGAAGCTGCTTTTTTTCCTGTTTGATGGTCACAGAATCACGAGCAAGGGCTGTAGTATCATTCCCAGTCCCTCATGTGCACCGAAAAGAGGGTATGGTTGGTATGGTTTGTAACGTCTGATTTATTGGTTGTGCTTGTATAATTATAAACATGGCATGATAATCATGTGGTACTGGTATCGTTTGCATACACCTGCACGTGTGCTGAGAGAGACCGCTACCTTTATTTCATAATGCAATCTGATTGGCTTACCCGTTTTCCGACTCAGCACAACCAACCTACTCTTTCGTAGAGTGCACATGCACGAGACTAGGGCTCACATGCACACAAGCAGTTCAAAAGTCATTCCACTGTGTTTGCTGTTTTGTTTGTGTGTCTGTGAGCTGCTAGAAGTTTCTGCACACTCTGTAGGTGGAAGCTGAGTGGGCTGTTGCTCCACGCACTTACAGGGGGGACTATGTAGGTTAGGGCGTCTGGGTGGTACGTAAAACAGACACCATCAATAACATCTCATGACTGTATGTTGCAGAAGTGAAAACGCCTGTGAAACCACTCGTGCACATTTATCCCAATGTGTTCCACCTATTTTTGTTAAATTACCAGTGCTAGGCCAACATCATCACACCACCAGCATGCTCTCCCTTTTTAGTGTGTGCTAAATGTGACTGCATGGGTATATGTGGGGCTGGCTGATGAGTCCTCCCACTATAATAAAATAATGGATCCAGGAGTATCCTCCAAAAGAAGGTTCCCAGCTCTTTGCCTATCAATATTTTTTATCCGTGGATATTCACACCACCAATAACAGGAAACCTACTCTTTCCTCGTGTTCCTCAGAATTTGGGACTTGGGGTCGCATTTAATCCATGGCCTATAAGACACTCTCTGACCACACCCAACTTTATAATCTAGGTGAGAAATTGTATCTAGCTGGTAAAAAATGGTTGTGCATTTTAGACCTGGATTTCTATACTTCACCTAGGCAACAATTAGGGATTGTGTCATTGGCTTGGGAAGTGTCTGACACCTCACAATGTGAACATTACTCTGAAGCTGTGATGCATTCTTGGTGATGAAGTTTCCATGCTTGTCAGCATATTGCGCTCACTTGTACGCCAGAGATAGATGGATCTGAGCTTGCTAAAGATGGAGAGCATGGCTCTACACATTGTAGGTGAAGAAAGATCGAGTCAGCCGTTTTTAGCCAATGTTTGTATGAACAGATTAATTGTTGTAGTAAAAACAAAATCAGTGGGGCCAGCTGATGAGTCCTCCCACTATAAAAATAATGGAAGAAAACCATATCTGGGGATTTCCCCCCTATAGGGATGGTTCCTGGCCCCTCCCCCTACTGTAGTATACTTACGACATACTACAGGTATTGCCATATACCTCATTGCTGTGTGACTCTCTTTGTGTCTCTCCCCAAATACACCACACCACTGTAATTGATTGGTATATAGTATGCAGTGGTTCATATGACATGATAATACAACAATGTATATACTGTTATGAAGGTTGACTGCATATGAACTAAGCTGTTGGTAGGTATGCACAATTACAATACCTATGACAACCCTCTTCGAGGTGGATTCACACTGCTAGGACAAAGAATACATTGCAGGCCTAGGTAACTATTTTGTGCAGTGTGAATCCACCTGCGAGTGATGACGCTGTAGGGCAGTACATTTGTCTGCTTGATGTGACACTGTCCTATGGTGGGCCTTCGCCTTGTGGTGTCATTCGGGAGGAAGTTGCTATCATTTGTGTTCGCAACTTTCTGCTAACAGAAGGCAAAGTTTATTAATTCATGTTTATACCTGTGCTGTTTTGTTTGGTTTTGATGTTTTGCTGAAGCAGTTTCCAGCAGTGCTAGTTTGTCTAGACAGTCACCAGAGTTTACAGAGCAGAAGATGCTGGGGACATTGTGGAAGGAAGCGGGTATTATGCCAATGTAGGCATACCACTTTCTTCTGGAGTGTTTTCCAGAGTCCTGCTTATCATTGTGCTCTATACTGTCTGAGAAGCAACTGATAGCTACCAGTTTACATAGCAACCCAGGAAACCATCACTGGCTGGCAGGCATATCCCGTCCTCTATATGTGTTTGCATTTGTACTGAGTGAATATGTTCGTATGACTTAAAATGTCAAACACAGTTCTATGTATCTAAATCCCTGACTGATCAGTTTACGAGCTTGTAATTTCGTTCAGTAAATTGGTCATAAAGAAGCAATTGCTAAGTAGCTCTCATCTCATAATTACTAACAATTGGACTTGTTTCAGGGATATTAAGATTAGCATAGATGCTGAACGACAACATGTCTGTAAGCAATACAAACAGCCTCTTGGCACAACGGGCTCAGGTTTTCGGTTGCATGATCTAAAAGTGATTTCAATTGTATCAGCAGTCACTGGTATTGTCATAACATGGCATGTATTGTCATGAATGATTGGACATTCAAACAGGAACTGATAAAAGAAGTGAGTGATGGGAGAATGTTCATTCTTATTAATGACTGCTTCTCACAAAATCAGCTGATTAGCTTGTGTGTGGCAGTTCCACCTCATAGGATGTTCAGTCATTTATGGGCAGCAATATAACTTCGTTGCTCAGAGTGCCACAACCAACAATCTTAGCAGTAAATAATCAGCCCCAGTCTCAGAAGTAACCTGGGCACTAGGGGGTGTTGCTGGTGGGGCATTGGAAAGTTGGGGTGTGTGGAGGATGGTAAAGTTAATTCATGTAGGTGTACTAGTAGCTCTTCCAGTCCTTGAGAACAATCTTAGCAGTAAGGGCAATAAAACCACTGCTGCATGCCACTATCTGCTCTAGCAAACCCACAGATTGACCATAGTGTGTCTCATTAGCCTCACCACTAAGATGCTCAATTGTGTGTGCAGGTTTGTGCATGTGACATTGATAGATAGGAAGGTTTTATGTCTCATATATACCCATGTCAACTCAACCCTCCGACACTCAAAGATGAAAGCACCACATGCCAAGATTGACCATGGTGTCTCTCATTAGCCTCACCACTAAGATGCTCAATTGTGTGTGCAGGTTTGTGCATGTGACATTGATAGATAGGAAGGTTTTATGTCTCATATATACCCATGTCAACTCAACCCTCTGACACTCAAAGATGAAAGCACCACAAGCCAAGATTGACCATGGTGTCTCTCATTAGCCTCACCACTAAGTGTGTGCATGTTTGTTCATGTGACATTGAGAGATAGGAAGGTCATCAACCCTCCCACACTCAAAGATGAAACCACCAAGTGACCACACTTGCCACTGCATTGTGCCAGCAACATATTATTATAGGCAACATTGCTAAACATCCGGCACATGGCGTAACTGGTAATACCAGTTTCCTACCTGTAAAACCAGTTTTTTGCCTACGTATAAGACATGGGCCCTGCGGCCAGTTCTTCACAGTTCCACTGAAGGCAGTTCCACTCAAGAAAAGACGTGTGAGTTAGTAAACTACTGTAACAGATACTACTAAACTCACTGACATTTTTGTTAGAAGTTACAATAGCTACACATGGCGTTTCAATCAGAGAGTATCCCATAATGCAGCTACGGCTTATGCAATATACACCACACCTGTGTAACTCTCGCTTTTATTCTCTCTCTCTCTCTCTTTTGCAGGAAACACTCACTCCCCAAAGAGATATCCCGTAAGTGGTGCCATTTCACCGGCATCACTCTATACTCTGTTATTTTACGGTAGCCTTAGATTCGATATTTTTAAAAGAGCAATCAGTGGAAATACATTCTTTTCCTGTATGCAATTCCCCTTATTGTCACAATTTTCCTGTCATCTAAGAGTAGACCACTAGTTTGCTTATGCTGCACTGAATTATGCAAACTTGTGCAAGCTTGACACAGTTGTGATGTAAATCCGCCCCCTGTATGAGCTGAAGATGGAGTGACCAGCCGTCGCACACATTCTGTACCACATGCTGTAATGGCATTGATCTGCCGTATGGCCACACTTTAGCAGAAACGGCAGTCTCTTATGTGTTGTGCTTCTCTAAATTCAAAAAAGCATGTTTATATGTAGTTGTTTTGTGGATTCAATTACCGTTATAGCTGAGGAGGAAAATATGGCGGCCCCTTTTTTACTCTAGGCATGCGCAGTAACGTCACAGCTCGACGATTTTGCAGGAAATGAGCTCTTACAGGAAGCAAAACTTAGGGGGTGCGGTCTGAATGACACGTGACAGTTGTGTGATTCGTTTTCAAAAGCGAAGGTCACTCCCCAAAGAGATATCCCATAAGTGTGCCATTTCACTGCATCACTCTATACACTTTAGTTCAATGCAGAGCAGCGGCGCCTATCCCGCTCCACGAGGCTCCTCTGGCTTCACAGCATCAGGAGACAAGGCCCAATGGCAATGTGATGCTAAGTGGGAAAGTGGGGTCTGCATCTATCTGGACAACTCCAATATATTTATCGAGGCGCAGAGACTGGCCGTCACCAGAAATGGCAACTCCGTAGATCCGTCTGTGAGGCGTCGCATACGAGTGGATTTCGAAAATCTCGTGGCACTCTGTTGTGCAAATCGAAAACTCGTATCTGCTCTAGCTGCGGGATCGATACCCCCTGAGCTGCGCAATCTCTGGTCGAGGCTGGAGGCGGCCACGGGGGCGCACGTTTCCCTCTTCAATAGAGGAGATAAGGATGGCAAGGAACGGCAAGTGGCGGATATGCGCCTTCAAATGGGCATGTATAAAGATGGATGCATGGCGAGCGGCCTGGTGTGGCGGTGTGTGGTCACTGGGGATGGAGCGGAATATGAGCCAGGGGAAGGATTTTTCCAACACTCCAGAACCTCCAGTACAAAGGATGGAAAATGAAGTGTTGTCATGGAGGCACTGCATCAACCGAAGATGTTGAGGTGGGTGGAGGGAAATGGGATCTTCGTGGCACTGGACGACTTCTATGAGGAGATCACGTTTCTAGAAGAGGAAAGGCAGCCGACAGCAGACTACAGGGTGCCGCTCGGTGTGCCAAGCCAATTGACCTGAAACGCAGACCTGCATACGAAGACTTCCGTCTATCGAAGACTATGGCATATTGAACACTGTTCATAGTACCACCAATAGGTTCAAAGTTGTTTCTACCAGCACATTGAACTGCTGAATTGTTTATAGTAGTTATTTTCAAATCTGTATTGTTTTATCAAAGTTGTTCTACCGGCACTAACCAAAATGAAAAGCACAGAAGTGCAAAACCCTCAGCGTAAAAGCAATGTGCATTGACTGTTGCTATGATTCCCTTTTGTAGTAAATATGGTACCTAAATAATTATATGCGGGTGTGTATTAGTAAAGGACAGACGAGACGAAAAAAATAAACCCCCACAGTGGCTGCCGGTGTCAATGCACGCTATGCTCAAAACCACGTGGTTCCGTAAAGGTACGCGTGTGCTCATTACCGGTTGTATGAGAATTGGATTCTGACGTAATCTGGAGGGATAAAAATAGTGATTACACACCTGTTTATTATTGGTTTGACCTAATTCTAGGGATTCAGTGTGGTACAAGGTGATCCTGTCAGTTTGCAATGTCACTCACACACATATACATTGTGCATAACCCCAAAATTTCTGTACAAGGGGGATTCTCAGTGGCATTAAGCACGTACAGCCACTGGAAACACCCAAATGCATGTATCTCCAAAACTAAAGGGGTGGTTACACACCATCAAACCTGAACAAGTGTTTGAAAACAACAAAAAACATCGACAAACCCACAAACAAGGTCACGTGATCCATAGGGGCGGTGAACCGTCCGTATTTACGTCCATTTGTTTTAGACTAGCAACGGTAAGGAAATAGCCAACGAAGGAATATTTCCACTTATGTCAAACAGTAAAACAAGGAGCGAAGTCATTATGTTTTTGAATGGGAAACTTACGAAAACCTTCCCGAGCGGTCTTAGAGTGGCTTTCAGGTTACCGGCTACAATTATGGCGTGGCAAATGACTCATACCTCCGTGAACGGAAGAGCCGCCCGTCCATCCGAGTAGGTGAAGAGCTATCCGTTCAGCGGTCTTACGAGCAGAGCTATAGCTCATCACTGCCTCCACTTACGTTGTCCGGTTTTAGTTAATCGTACAGCGCGATTGCTGCGTCCTCTAGAACGAATCTGGGCAAAGGGAGAACATTGTGCGCATGCGCCCTCAGCCATTCGCGCCGGGCGGTTTAAAACTCAACAGCTGACATGACCGAGCTAGAGATGCGTTCAGTCGGGGCTTTTCTATATTCATTAACACTATAAAAAAACATTAGGCATTGTTTTAGGTACATGTACACAGGTCCGTTAACTTCTCGACGTGTTGTGCGCTCATCGATCGAACCCCACACGTACTCGTGAAGCGGCGGCCGCCGGCGCGCATTACGTTTT